CTCCCTACTCCCCCTGTGTTGCCTTTCGCCTACCCACGACTTGATTCCAATTACATATCATGCCCTTATACTATATTAGTTTTTTTTTTTTTCAAAATATTTCATACCAAATTTTGAGCATCCCTTCCTCTATTAAACTCGCACCTACAAATATATAAAAACAATATTTCTAATAACCTACATTAACCAAAGTACACTAAAAAACTTTAGGGGTATTTTGGTTATTTTAGTTTATTGAAAATATCGTTTATATATATATTTTTAGGTGCGCCCCATCGATACGATGTTACTTACCAACTTTCATACTTATATAATTTGTTGAATAAAAATGAAAAATAAAACAAAATGAAATGTATTAAGGAATCAATGGTTTATTTGATCTAAATTAGATAACCGGATAGGGGCAACATAGAATTTCTATCCTATGGAATAAGACTATCCTTTTGGAATAAACATGTCATAATCAGGTCTCAATGAAAACATTAACTTTGACCCATAAAGGTCACAAAGGCGGATGTGAAATCAGACTGCTATAGTTGGGTCAAGAAACACAAAAAAAACCAAAAGGTCAGGTTTTGTTCCCCTTCGTACAATCCCAACCGCTGGATTTCATATCAGAGGACTAAAAGAGAATATGACATAATATTTGTGGGCCAAACCTCTTCCTATGCACTAGCCTTGTCCTCGTTATAATTTCTACTTCCTTAATAGGGATAGAACAACTACAACTACCCTGCAACTTAGTAGTAGACTCTTGAGGTGAGGCAAAATTCACATTTCATAGCAAATAAAAATTGCATTTAATAGGTCTTGTCCAAAAAAATGGCATTTAATAGGAGATTTAATGGAAATTAAAGGACATTTTTGGAAAGTTCATTTTAGGAAGGGCACTTTTGGGTTAAGTAAATAAATACCAGTGAACTTGGGCACAGTGTTGTGGCACCAAAGCAGTTCAATACTTTCTTTCACATCCGTAGCATGGAGTGCAGTAACTGGAGGATGATGAGATACCTGTCCAAGAGACAAAAAAAAAAAAATAACATATATATATATATAAATGTGTTTTTTATAAGAAAAAAGTTTATATAGAGCCGAGGCTCTAAACAATCAAATTAGAGCCCACCTCACAATTTTCACTAGAAGATACTATTTTGATGCTCAAATATCCTCAAATTGATCATCTCGACGTCAATATGCATGGACATAAGAAAAAAAAATGGATTTCAAGTTTTGGAAATAGTGCATCATATAACACATTTTGGACCATCAATTTTCAAGATTTTTCAGTTTTCATATATCAGTACAATCTACACTATTTTTGAGTTTTGAATTTTTTAATTAAAGATAAAAATATATTTAAGGCTATCATAAAGATTTCTAGTATTGAAACCATATTTCTCGAGGCTATTTGAAGGTGCGCTTTACTTTGATTGTTTATATCCTCGGCCGCCCTTTTCATAAAGGCAGAGATGCCCCCAAGTGATTGAAAACTCGGCGATTAGAGATTGGATCACTCTGACTTGCTAGGGTCTCCGTTCCGTTAAAGAACTTTAGGTCTCCCTTGTGTCTCACCAGGCTCGTATCTCTATCTTGGGACATTTATCAAAATACACCTCACTGATCAACTATTTAAATTCCAACTATTCCTGAGACACATGTACAAAAGCTTTGTATAGGAATCCACAAAGAACAGATAGAATTGATGAAAATGTACAATCAAGATCATATCCATATAATTTCACATCTCTCGATAAATATAATGAGTTTCGCTATTCTAAATGCTTATTCTATTCTAGGTAATGAAGAACTTGTCACTCTTAATTCTTGGGTTCAAGAATTCTTCTATAACTTAAGTGATACAATAAAAGCTTTTTCTATTCTTTTACTAACCAATTCATGTATCGAATTTCATTTGCCCAATGGTTGGGAACTACAAAGATTTTGGATTTAGGTGTATTTTGATAAATTTTCCTTTTTTAACATACACTCAATTCAGTTGGAGCACAAAAACTAGAGTGGTGTTACTGAGTCCATAAGTTGCCCATGCTTTTAAAAATAATAATACTGATTTTAGAGAGAGAGATAGACCTGTTCTAATAGGACATTAAGATTCCCCTTGGAAACATGATGGGTCTCTCCCAAAATGGGATTAAATGGAACCAACCCAAAAGGTGTTGGTCTAATGAGAGAAATACTCCATGCCACTACTGCTTTGAACCTCTCCATTGAATTATTTCCCTCTACACATCTTCTCAACATATCATCTGATATACAATACACAGATTCCCCAACGCACTGGAGTTGTGACTTTGGCATATTGAACAAAGGTGGAAGCTGCAACAACAACAACAATTTTATTCATAATACTTAAGAAATAAAACCCTTTGATTTTGTAGAAACAACATCGATAGCTTACCTCCTTTTTCTCTATAGCATTTTTTTTTTTTTGATAATGCTTTTTCTCTATAGTATTTTAAACTACGGTAAAAAGATTAAAACAGTATAAACCCAACAGTCAATATTTCAAAAAATAATAGTATAGGCCCAACAGTCCGGATCGATGCTCACATAAATAAATTGCCAGCATTATGTGTCAGAATTTTATTTTTAGGAAAATGTAATAGTTTGATAGATCAATTTTTTGCACATTTATAAGTCTCATCTAGGCCCTCTAAATAAATTTAAAATTTTAATATACATAAAATATGGGACATGTTTGCATATTAAATCTCACCATATCTAACTATTACAAGTGTGAAAGAATTTGTTGATCCGGCGGGAGCAAAACGCCCATTTGCTCCCTTGGGTAAAACAAAAGTTATTTTTATGACTCCAAATTGTAAGGATGTAATGTCTTGAACCTAATGTCTAACCTCCCAAAAAAAAAAAAAAAATGTCTGTACTTGAAAACAATAACATCCTAATATTGAGCAAGGACAATCCAACTTTCCGAGGGCAAGATCCAAGCATTGAAGAACTCATAACGTATTCTAAGTGTGCCCCCTTGCATAAGCTTTTTCCCAGTGTTCGATTGCACGAACTGGCCATAGAACCTGGCCATGGACCCAGTCCGGGCAACCTGCCAAGCCAAGGGACAGGCTAGGCAAGAAAAGCGGTTAAAAAAATTTTAAAAAAAAAATCTAAAACAGAAAATATATATTTAAAATAAGATTAAAAAAAACGCATCTAAATAAAGTTAAAAAATATATTTTAAATAATCAATTTGTGTCTGGAGGTATTTTTGAAATAATTTTTTAAAAAAATATAAAAAATAAATACTCATGGCCAAAATACTTTCCAAACTTGTCAAAATGATAGAACGCATAAAAAAAACATGTCACAAATAGATTTTTTATTTTTTTGAATTTTTTATAAGTTTTTTGAAATTCTTCTTAAGATCCCCAAATTGGACACTCAGACCAGTGCTCAGGCTCGCTAGAGTCGCAAACCCGTGTTGCTCAGGCAAGTCAGAGCGGACTCGCCCAATTAGTCAAACACTGTTGTGTTACTACCAAGTATTTGTCAGGAAAATCTATCAAAGTTGGCAAGAGATATGAAATATTCAATATTTTACCCATATTATTTGTTTTATTTAAAATACATGATCAAAAGGTGCGGTTTGTATAGAGCCGACGCTCTAAACAATCAAATTAGAGCCTACCTTCCAATAGTGTGGAGAAATGTGGTTTGAATATTAAAAATATTTGTGATAGCCTTAAAATATTGAAAATCGAGGATCTGCGTTACAAGATGCACTATTTTCAAACCTTGAAATCGATTTTTTCCTCATGTCCATACATCTTCATGTGAGATGATCAATTTGAGGCAATTTGGGCATCAAAACAACTTCTTCTAATATAATTTTGAGGTGGACTATAATTTGATTGTTTAGAGCCTCGGCTCTATATAAACTTTTTCTTGGTTGCAAATGTGTAAAATGTTTAATGGTAAATCTCTTATGAATATTTTAATAAATTTTACTTTTCATATAAATAAAGGACAATTTCTTAAAATACCTATGATAGATTAATTATACACTATTTTGATGAATTAATAAATGGGAATAGCTTCCATTTGTCACTTTAACAAATACAAGAAACTCTTAGGAGGAGACCATTATGAGCAACTTATCCTTCTTAAGAAACAATAAAATAACCAAGGTCATGAATTACAAGATGATAAATTCTTGGTCGAAGGATTCGCACCTGGAAGCGTGTAAGATCAGATCCTGGCCGCACAGTTTTGAAAAGGCTGAGAATCCGAGAGAGCATTCCTGGCGCCTTGCATTCGACGCCAAAAACACCATCCAGAGAGAGAGGAGGAGTCAAAACGGCATCTGCAAAACCGCTTTTCTCGTCTTCCTGCAAGCCGCCCATCAAAACCACTTAAACCACCAATTCTGCATGTTCTTTTCCCTGACCGTTACTATGAAGCTAAGAATCAAAATATCTTATTTTTCTTGATATTTCCCAAAAAAAAACAACTTTTTTTTTTTTGAAATTAAACTTTGAATAAATCAACTCTTTTATCCATATCAATTAGCAGTTCACCTAATATTAGTTAGAAAAATCGTAATCTTTGCAAAAATAGCATCAATTTTTTTTTTTAATTAGCATTGAATTTGCCAGAATAAACAATTCAGATATGCCAAATTAAGTGTATATCAGTTCCAAAACCTCTATTTTTAGCTTTTTTTGTTGATAAATTTCTTTTTTTCTTATGCAAAACCGCTTTTGAGTGTACTATCAGGCATGAACCAAAACAGCTTAGAATATCCAAAGTTAAAAAATGTGAGGCATTTGTGGTTTTCCTTAGGAAATAAAACCACTCCTTGGGGCAAAACCACTCTCCTAATATCCAAAGTTAATAAATAAAAATACCATAAAGGTTAACAAAAAGAAATTTATCAAAAACCATATTTTGTTTTCTTTGTTTTCATTTCATAAAACCCATGACACTAATCATGAGTTAGAAAAGTTCATTGTTTTTGTATAAATGATGAAATGTTAAAAAGTTGATATTTGAAGTGTGTTTTCATAAAATTTCCATAAAATCCAAATAATACTTCCTTAAATTAAAAAGACAGGGAAAATTCAACCAATTTTATTTTGTGTTTTCATAAGTTCAAAACCTTTAGATAAAAGAGCAAAAAAACATGGCGAAAAAGAGGTGAATGCAATAAAAATGGCTAAGACTTGGAAATAATACATACCATTGAGAAGGATGATGATCTTGAAAGCGGTTTTGCAGTGCTGAGAGTGGTTTTTTAATATGCTTTAAGCGGTTTTGCAGAGAGAGAAATTGGAAAAGGGGCGTAATTTATAGGGGGATTTTGAATGCATGGTATTGGACTGATGGCTCCATCCATAATTAACAATTGAACGGTATGCATTGGACTGAGGGACCACAATAACAATTGCACGGTATCTCTTGGAGTGAGGGATCACGGGAAAAAGTTGCACGGCATGTATTATGAGCGATGGAGACCACGAAGACAATTGCATCACATGTATTGGACTAATAGCTGCCTCCATGACCACGAAATCAAAATTTGATACGTCGATATGAACCAAATTTGATACGTCGATATGAACCGTTGAATTCCATAAAGGGATTTGTGGATACGCGGAAATATATTGTTTTTGAAATATATTATACATTGTTGCATAATATATTACTTATAAATAGATTGTTATCGTTTGGGTAGTATTTAAATATAGAAATATATTGTTAAATATATTGCTATTGTTTGGCTATATCGGGAAGAAATATGAAAAATGCATTATCAATGTTTTACCGGCACTTGCTTATAAACTATCATTTCTTTCTTTTTTTGTCACGAAATTTCGTTGAAATGTGGAATTAAAGTCATCGTCATATAATTCTAAAAATATTTTCTAATAATAACATCATCACCATTCTAAAAAGATTTTCTAATAATAACTCGTATTTTTTTAAAGCCATGATGACATCATTTCTTATTCATTTTGCATGCCTTTAACACTTACATGGAATTACATAATTTCTAACATGATTAGACTTGGTTTCAACATAATAAGCCATCGGAATAATATGATTAAAATAACATTATTTGATTGTGATAAACCTTATTTTTATAGTACAATTTAAAAAATTGAAAGAAGTTCAAAGTTTATTAGTAAACTAGAAGGTTTGGTAATTGAAGGAAAAATTTGAAGGCATTGGAGGTTTATTTCAATTGGCCTTTTACTAATTTAAGAGAAATGGAACACCTTATGCAAACCCAGGCTCAAAAGAGAGAGGGGGCCGGCTTAGAGAGGGAGGGAGTACCTATGCAAGCCAGTTATTATGGCTCAAGAAGAGAGATGGTAGGGCTTCCGAGTAAATAGAAAAGCATCAATTTGGTAAGTTACTCTGACGAGTTTGAGAGACGAAAAATGACGGGTTGGCATTTTTTTAAGTGCGGAATAGAGCTGAGAGAGACACAATTTCCCAAAAGATTATCTGTGACGCGCATTTGGGAAATGTCGGTAATCTCTTAAAATTTCCTTCTTTATTTTTGGGAAAATCTTTGTAATCTCTTTGTATTTTCTTATTTATACCTAGAAATATCATATTTCCTTGTAATCTATTGTCATATAATAGATTTCCAAGTACCTAAACGGCCCCTAAAAGAAAAAGTTTATATAAGGATGTAACCTTATAATGTAGGACTATGGATGCACCTCAAAAATCCATCGAACAATGTAGTTTTGATGTTGAAAAACCCTTTGATTGATCATCTCGATATCGAGATGTATGAATATGAAAAATAAACAGATTTGTAAGCCTCAGAAATAGTGCATTTTACAACATATTATCTACATTGTCCATTTTCAAAATTTTCATATGTTTATAGATCTACTTGATTTTAACTATTTTAAAAATTTAAAATTTTATAATTAGATACAAAAATAGATTTTGAGATAATCATAAGAATATTTTCCATCAAAATTATATACCATGATAAAATTTGAAAGTGCACCTTACCTCTACAGCTACAGATATGCCAACTGCACCGTTCCACAAATGACAAGGAAAAGTACACAAGAACAATTGTTTTATGCTGGCTGGACCGCATTTCTACAATATCCAATCCAGAGTATAAAGTATCCATCTTAAACATAGATGCGGTGGTCCATCTAAAAACATAACTAACGGTCCAAATATATTTTTAATATAAATACTATTTTTAGGTTTCAAATAAAATAATTTGCATATTCATGATCTCCATGTTAACGATTATATATTCTCTAAAGGAAGATTGTTTCATGTGGGCTAGTCCTAATTTCTACATATGCGGTCCAGAAAGTGTAACGCATCTATCTTAAAGATGGATGCAAGTAGGTGTTCCATCTAAAAACAATCGAAACTAACGGTCTCTTACTAGAATTATTATTTTTTGTTTTTAAAATTTATTTATTTTTTCATATTCATGATCTCCATGTTAGAGATTACATGTCCTTAACAATTAAGTCTTAAAATCCATCTCAAAAATATATTTATTTGAAGCCCGCTTTTCTACATATGCGGGCTTAGCCACATAGAAATCGAGTCCTTCTCTAAAACTTAGGATCAAATTATATTTAAAAAATATATTTATTGCCCAAGCCCGTATTTCTACAATATATGGCCTAACCGTATGCTAACCACACCAAGTATATAATGAGGTCATTTACCTTTTATTACACAAAGAAGGTACTTTTTTTTTTTTGACAAGGTTACGTAAGAATAGAACTTAAGAGATATTGCTATGAATACTCAGCTACTACCATCATGAACCAAGCCTGATTTCTAGTGTCACAATTAATCTCGACCATTAGATGTGAAATTAAATGGTTGTATTTATTCTATTGCCAAGTTCTGAAAAGAAATTTTTTTGAACTTTATGACAAACCTAAGAGGTATGGAACAACTTCCTAGGCTGCCCAACTAATTTGAGGTGGATTTTACCTAATTTTTTCTAGTCATAAATGATCTCATTGTATACAATCCCATGACAAAAATAGCTCCAACTATTCTAAAAGTGGGAGGAGACTAGCCTCGACAATTTTGTACTCGGTTATCTTGTTTTTGATTTTTGAGGGGGAAATTACAAATAGCCTCCGAGACCACTTTTTATGCAAAACTTACCCCCAACTCAACGTTTGCTCTCACTTTTTGTTCCAAACTACACTTTCTATGCAAATACCTCCCAGCTAAAAACAAAAAATCTAAACTACCCTCCCTTACCTTTACCTTACCCACAAGTCTCCTTCCTCTAAACTAATTTTTTGTGCGGTCCAACATTTCTTTGGGCAGTCCAGCAAGGTCACGTCAGTCCGGTAAATCATTGCGGCGGTCTGGCAGTACAAGGAACTAGAAGAGGTCCGGCAATCAGAGTGGCACTCTGGCATTTTTCAAATATGGTCCGACAGTAGTCAATTGCGGTCTGGTATATAATTTTCTAGAATAATTGGTCTAGCAATTGAAACGGCGATCCGGCAAATTGCTACTGGATCTGAAAGTCAACTTCAAATATAGCCAAAATGATTTTTTTTGTACAAAAATAGCATTTTCGTCTAAAAAAAAATGAACTTTTTCGCTTGGGGGTATTTGCATAGAAAGTGCATTTTGGGGTAAAAAGTAAAAAATCGTTCGGTTGGGGGTAAGTTGCGTAGTAAGTAGTATTGAGGATTATTTGTAATTTTTCCTTTATTTTTTTTTAAGGAGTTTGTAGGCTTTTTGTTTTTTTGGTTTTTTTTTTTTGATAAACCACTTACTAGAATGAACGGAAAATAGACACGGAATTACTACGTTATAGTCCCATATTTTCTCAATCCTACACCAAGGTCATATTTTTTGTTTTGTTTTATTTTTTTTATTTCAATTTGTTTCCCGGCTCAAACCACATCTTTTCACAAAACTATGATTTATTTTTGTGATATCTAGAATGGTAAGAAGCCATAGAAATCAAACGGCCCAATATAGGGGCGGTTTGACATTAGCTACTTTGAAGTGTCCAACATGTCAATCTGACCTAGGTACGACCGTGCAGTTCAATGTTGTTGATATCACTTGCTCCATAGTGATTTTTTTTAAAAGTGATTTTTTTTTTTAAAAAAAAAAAATTATTTATTTATTAATTATTTTATTTATTTACTGTTGAAAATGAGGTGAGTAAAACAAGGGCTTAAGTATCATTGAGAAAATGAAATGTAGAAACCAATAAAAATAGAATTATATGTTTACAACCACACTACAAGAGCGTTCTCAGTATTGTAATTAGCCCCTTCACTATAAAATAACATTGTGTAAAAAGGTGATCAATGCAAAGCAATTATTGGGATATCTAAAACTAGAAAGTCAACAAAATACTTGCTTCTTATCGCACGATATAGGCAAGCCTACATAGCACCAAAGTTGCCTAAAATTAAAAGAGAAAGTGGGCTTGAATTTGACTATAGAACGAGAAAGACTATGTAATTGTAGAGAGAGAGAGAAAAAATTGAGGTAGCAAAATGATGTTTAAAAAATGGTAGAAAATCCCTTTTAAAGAGTGAATAGTGGCTTTTATCTTAGTCATTAGATCTCACACACGCCACACTCGCATATGTGTGGGGCTGAGCCTCGAATCCAATCCGTACTCGGGCGAGGTGCTTGTGCAAATGCGAGCATGCGAAGTGTAGAGAGCGTCAAAAAGCGCCATTGCACCTACTCACATATAGGTCACAAGCTTCATGTGCTTCACGCATGTACCGACACTCACACCTTTGTTCTATGCATATAAGGCATGAGAGTGCTTTCATATTTATATCATTTTTTTCACATTAAAGCCCACTACTTTCTCTTTCTATTTATTTAAAATTTAAAAAAACAATACAAGTAGATATATTATTTGAAAATATACAATAATATTTTTCTATTCTAAAATACTAACACAAAACACCTTCAGTATAAAAAAAATTTAAGTAGAGGGGATTCCAATATTGCTCATGTCGAATTGCTCCAAATACGGGGTAGTTCAATTTGTGAGATTTCCTACAGCTCACAACTATGTGGCTCAAATTCTTTTGATATCTTTAACTAATTTAAGCATGAAAGGGACAAAAGCATTATGGAGAAGAAGAGAGGAAATAACATTTGACCTTATTTTTGGGAAAAACTCTACTAATTTCTACAAATCTTGCTCTACACATTTGGTGTCATGTAGTAGATATCGTTTACCACTGCGATGGCAATTTCGAGAAACATATAATAGAACTTTACTATTTATCCTTAGCGACTCCGAGTAAGTTCATATAAGGTTACGATCTTAAAATGTAGAATCACATGTG